TATATGCTCAATGACTGGATAAGACCTACTCTTTGGTAAAGCAACTCAAACAGAGGCAGTATATGAAAGCAGGGGTTCTGGAGCCAGACTGTCTTAATCCAGGTCCTAGCTCCACTACAACAAGAGAGTCTAAACGCAGGCAAATTACCTATTATCCCTCATCTACAGTCTGCATGTAGTAACAGTTGCTAGCTCACTGAGCTAGTGTAGGGACTAATTGAATTCAGTTACTTAAAGTAATACTTACATCAGCACCTACAACAGAAAATTATGCTTTAAGTCAGCTACATAAAATCAAATAAATGGCACAAGAGAAAAAGGAAATTCAGAAAATTAGACCAAAACTACTGTATACTACCATGATTTAGGGTATTCATGCCTTTTAAGTAGTCTTAAATATTGCAAGAGGAAGCCTCCACTGTTCACTTGTGCTAGATTTGGGGGTACCAAAATCAACAAAACACTACTTCTATCCTTGAAGAGCTAACTTCCCCCTGGAGGACAAAAACGATTACAGTGTATCTGGTTAGAATGATGGCAGAAGCAGGTGTGTACAGTGCTAGAGGGACACTGTGTTCAGGGTGGAATGATCTTTAGAAAAAACCCAAAATGTATGAGTTACATACAGCTTTCTACATTTATGGTACTATTAATTTCAAACAGACAACTGATAAGTACATATTAAGAAAAACAGTCTGGCCAGGCCATGGTGGTGCACACCTTTAATCCCAGCACTTGGGAAGCAGAGGCAAGTGGTCCCTGAGTTCACAGCCAGTCTGGTCTACAGATCAAATTCTAGGACAGCCAGGGCTACACAGAGAAACCCTGTCTTGAAAAAGAAAGTCAGTCTGGTATGTGTGACAAGGATGGTTAAAGAAGAGGCTGTGAATGGTTTGGGGGTGAACATGGGAGGAGGAGAGGGAAGAGAGAAAAGATGTACAAATATTCTAAATTAAAAAACAAAAAGGAAGAAAGAAAAGCAGTCTGCCAGTTATAATAGGGAATCTAAAATAAGATTCTGTCCCTAGCTTCCCATGTGTTGAAAGACACACACACACACACACACACACACACACACACACACACACAAAGCACGTCTTGGGGCTGGAGAGACAGTTCAGACATGAGAGCAAGCATCACTCTTGCATAGAGTTTGACTTGGTTCCAGCACCCACATCAAGTGGCACAGAACTGCCTGGTACTCCAGCTTCAGAGGGTCTGAACTGCACTGTGCACATATACATTATTTTTAAAATAATAATAAAACAACAATCTAAGTTAAGTAACAACAAAAGCAATAACCAATAGATATCACAATGCAAATATGTGATTACCACCATGAGGAACATAGTCAGCCAATGTTCAAAATAAATCTAAGGGATCCAAGACAAAATTATACTATTTTTTTTTTAAGCATGCATGTATAGGTGTGTAGATATATAGATATACTACAAAAGCATTTTAAAAATAACAGTTAAGCTTTTTATTTCTGTGTACATAAGCCATCTTGATCTACAAAAATACATGTAAAAAATCTTCAAAACTGTTTCAAGAGTTAAATAATATTTTAGTGAAAGAATGTGCTACTTATAGAAATCTAACTATGAAACCATTAAAATAATCAAATACTAAATTCATTGAAAATAAATGTGATTTTATATTACATATTTATATCTGGCTTAATAAAAATGAGGCCCATCGCTAAATGTAGTTAATATGCCTCATTATCAGAAGTTCATTCATCCTTTATTCACAAATGCTTACTTATACAATCATTACGGAATGAGAATATAGAAGTAAAGTGCAAAACCACATTTTATTTATTTATTTATTTATTTATTTATGGTGGTAGTAGGGTTTAAACCCAGGGCCCTGTACACTTAAAGCATTTTCCCAACCAGTGAGCTACACAGATTGCTCCTCCCAGCCCACAATTTACAATTCTTCAACCCAGAGCTCCATATTTCTGGATATTCCTGTGCAACAAATATTGACTGCATAAAATTTAAACAAATTTCTTTACTAAGTATTCATTACAGGAAAAGGCAGTCATTGAATTCTTCCAGTTTTTCTCAAGCCAAGTTTCTTTTCCAATTCATAACCGGTGATACTTTGAACTCATCACTAAAAAATCTTAAAAAATTCACAAAATCAGATTTTAAATAATATAGCAGCTACCCAGGATACTTTACAATTTTCATAATCTTATTTCCATCTATTGACAGACACAAGATTATTACAATGCATTCACAAATGAGCTTGCAAGGATTATCACACTACAATAATTTGTATGTGGAAAGAGACTGCGTAGGAGCTGATGAGATGGCTCCGTGGTTACAAGCACTGGCTGCTCTACCAGTGGACTAGATTAGATTCCCAGCACCCATACAATGGCTTATGATGATCTAGAACTCCAATTTCAAAGAATCCAACACCTTCTTCTGGCTTCTGCAGGCACCAAGAGCCTATATGATGCAGAGACATGCATGCAAGTAAAACACCCAAACACATAAAATAAAAAATTTAAAAGATGATTGGACAACAGACAAGCATCACCACTGTGCTCATTTACCATAGCACCAGGTGTCTTTTATTTATCTTTTCTTTCTTTTTTTTTTTTTTTTTTAAGGAGAACAGGCCTCTCTAGTTAAGACTTAGCTGTCCTAGAACTCCTATGCAGACCAAGCTGGCCTCGAACTCACAAGATCCACCTGCCAGTGTCCCAAGAACTGGAATAAGGGAGTGTGCCACCATGCCCAGACAGATATCTTGGTAACTGTGGTAGGAAACAAGTCTTACTACAACTCCCTCAACCATATGATCAAATAGCATCAAGAAGTAAAGGGAGTAGACAGTGGGAAGCTCCTGATGAGAAGCAATACTAAGCTAAGTACATAGCATCATTTACCGGGTAGTCTTGTCCTTGGACTCTTTAAAACTAGTTTACAATCAACAGCTAGTTTAAGTGGGACAGAGAAAAGAGCTTGTAGCTGACTCCACTGAAAGGAAAATTTCTGACAAATTAGAATGTGAGTCATCTCTCTCTCTCTCTCTCTCTCTCTCTCTCTCTCTCTCTCTCTCTCTCTCTCTCTGCAATGTCATTATATGCTTGCATGTTGTGTATGCAGGTATACTTATCCATGTGTCCACATGTGGAGGTCAGGCGTTGACTTTAGTTTAATCCTGGTTGGGTAAGAAAGGCTGTGTACAATGTTCTAGAAGACCTTTCAGGACAATTGGAGAGATAAAAACCTTAGATTACTCTGAGGAGAGA